GCCCAGCAGAGCTGAAGCACGTGCCTGTTCTGCTGCTGGTCTAGATTCTGGCTCTGAGCAGCCCCCGGGGGAGTCCAGGTGCTAAGAACAGTTGAGAGCTAAATAGAGGGTCCCCCGAGACCCCAGTCCACCCACCCGGCTGGAGTAGGACTGCAGTTTAGAGATGGCCCCTCCCCCCTGAGGCCTAGCAGGTGGGGAAGGCATGGGGCAGGGGTGTCGGACATGCCACACAGGAGCGCCGGGAGGAGGGGCGTGCACGCGTGTCTGTGCGTGTGCACATGTGGGTTGCGTGTTCATGTGCCCTGTGTGTGTGCGTGTAGGGTGCTCCCTGTGCGTGTGTGTGTGCATCTGTGTGTACGTACCTATTTGCTTGTGAAATGTGTCCTGGTGTGTATTGTGATGCACTTGTGTGTACACAGGGCCGCATGTGTGTGTCTGGCTGCTTCTGTGCGTGTGTGTGTGCACATGGGTGGCCCTCAGCAGCCAGCCTGACTCTCATGATCAGCGCCTGGACTCCTGGACATGTTCTTTTGGCCCACACCTCAGTTGCTGTGTGACTGCAGGCTGTTACTTACCTACTCTGTGCCTCGTCTTTGTGGACTATGAAATGAGGATCAGACAGTGACCGACTTCAGGCTGTTCTCAGGTTAAAGGAAGGTCCCTGGGGAGCCATTGAGGGCAGTGCCTGATACGTGCACCATCCTCACTGCCCAAGAGCCCGAATCCTGTCCAGCAAGCCCAGGGCTCCGCCAGGCCTTCCCCTGGTCACCCCAGCTGTTGGAAGAGTGACCGACTCGCCATGTTTCCCTGACGTGGGCGGGAGAGCCCGTCCCCTGACCATGGCCTGCTGCCTGCCCGGAGTCAGGAGGTCCCTGCAGCCTGGCTGTCAACCTTCCTTGAGATGGTACCTGACCAGCCAGTCCTGCCTGGCCTGGCCCCTCCTCGGTCCTCCCCCCCAGAGTCTGCCTGTCCCTCTGCCCAGGACAGCCCCTTGTTGGTGACAGCAGCTGGAGCCCCGCCATGGGCACCGACCAGTCCACAGTCCTCCCTGAACCCCTGTCCTGCCAGGGCCTTTCCGCGGCACTGCCCAGCAGGCAGGAGGGGGCCAGGGAGGCAGGATGGGGTGGGGCTGCAGGTGCCTCCCTGTGCCCTGTGCCCTGTGCCGGGCCACGTGTGCTGGGGCTGCAGAGGACAGCTGGCCACCCTGCTCACTCACCCATGGAGTGGCAATCTGAGGCCACCTGGGCACAGGGACAGCCAGGTGCAGGATTCTGCAGACATCTGGGCATGGACATCAGGGTGTGGGGCCAGTGCACTGACCAGGCTGGGGTCAGAATGTCCCTCCAGCCAGCTGGAGCTGGGGCCTCGTGGCTGGAGCAGCCTGGCCAGGGTGAGGCTCCCGGTCTGAGCCTGGGGAAGGGGCTGACCTCTACCCAGGCAGGGGAAGGGCGTAGTCTGGCCGGGTGACGGGAGGACACCCAGCCTGGTATCCCAGCCCAGTGACCCCTCTGCTCCTCCATTGTCCTTGAGGCTTAGCACAGGGCCCTGTCCCCCATGGGCCCGCCAGCTCTCTCCTGGGGCAGCCAGGGCCAGCAGGGCAGGCCTCATGGGACATGGGAAGGGGCACGCTGGCCCTGGCCTCCTGGTGGTCTTGGGGCTCCAGGGCCCGTTCTGGTCACCAGCAGAGCCCAAGAGGTGGGGTTACGACCCCCTGTGGCTTGGAGAAGCCCTGTCCCTCCCTCGGTGGCCCAGCACCAGCCCTGCTTCCCCAGCCTTGGGCAGGTCACCCGCTTCTGTGCCTCAGTGTTCCCGGGGACAGTGGCCTCCTGGTGCCACCTCCTGTGCGTGGGGGGGGGGGTCATGGGGTTGCATACCAGTCACATGCTGCAGCCTGGACCTGGTCGCAGTTAAGTCCCATGGCCGCTCTGCTGAGCCTGCAGGGTGGGCAGCTGGAAAGAGTCCTTGGCCGCTGGAGCTCCTGGGCCCTGTCCAGCGTCCCGTGGGGGTGGGCAGCCCTGGCTGGGGCCAAGAGGCAGGAGAAGCGGAGATGGCCAGGCTGGAGGGAGGCGGCATCCTGAGCAAGGAGGGGGCCTGCCCAGGCCCTGCAGCCCACACCCCCTGTCCCCTGTGTGCTCACAGCCGAGGGGAGGCGCCACCCGGCTCCCCTCCCCGGGACTGAGCTTGCTGGCCTGGCCACCAGACACAGAGACAGCGGGCGGCTGAGGGGGACCAGAGCCAGCCTCAGGCCAAGCCTCGGGGCAGCCCTGGTGGGTGGGTGAGGGCTCCCCCCTGGACTCCGGCTGCACCAGTGGCCTGTCCCTCCCCTCCAGGGCCTGTGCTGGGCAGGAGCCCCCACCCCAGGGAGGAGCCGCCCTCCTGCAGGGAAGGGAAGCAGCCCCCTGGAGGGAAGCAGGACAGGG